TCGGTATTTACATGGTGTAGCGTACCTTCGCCTTGCTTTTAGTAGGCTACAAGACCGTTTCTGCCACAGCTCAAGGGTGTTGCATTTAAACTGCATGGGTGTAAAACAGTACCAGTTGTTGGGTCGAACCAACGCATGTTCAGATGCCAACGAATATGCCATACAGTCCTTAGACATGTATACTGAAAATATGTGAGCCTAATCATAACCAAACCAAACTGGCAGTTAAAACAACGGAAGTAAAACATATTAGATGTTCTTACCCGTTATTTTTTGTCGCTGTATTTTACGATGATTTTCTTACAGGTTTCTTTTGTGCACGAGCTTTACCCTCCCGGCAATCGAGAAATTGCGCGACAAGTCCTGTCTGTGTATGACGCAGAAGTTTTCGACAAATTAGCGCTATCGAAAGTAGAAAAATTTTTGTCTGCTTCTCAGAATCCTCGGCAGACATTTACTCCATTGGTAGAGTACTGGACGATTTTTTGCTGCTGACGTCATTTTACGTTTAAGATTTCGGTTAAATGTTTGTTCGTTTCTTCTGAAAGTTCCACTAGCGACTCCGAATGCTGTTTAAAAGTTTCCGTTTTGCCGATACATTTGAATGTTGATCAGGTTAGACATTTGAATCAGACCATTGTGTATTTTATTATTTACCGTCCGTTCCATAGGATACGCTGGAGTTTATGCAAGATTTCATGAAAGATTGTACGTTTCCCAGAAGAACAGATTCATCGTCTTCACACATAAAAGGAGGTATGAATTATGTGGGTAGAAAGTAACTTTGAGTAGCTTGGGAACAGTTCATCGTGCAAAATGTTTATTTTCAACAAGATTAGGTGGCAAAAATAAATACCGTTTAAGGAATGTGAACAATTAGACAAAAACACGAAAGTCGAATTCTCTTTAGAAGTCAGCTCAACGTCAGTTTAAGGTTGATTGAATCTAAAGCATCAATCAGATTTCAATGATGAATTTCGAGAAATGTTCTCAATTGGTGGTTGTTCCAGTTCTTTTTTTATCAAAGTGAACTTTAAGGTTTCCACTTTGAGAAAGTTGCCCGTAATGCAGAAATGCTTCGTTAATCAGGCATCGATCAGGACTTTACCAAACTTTGTAAACCAAATCGTGGAGTACAGGTAATGAAATAGTTCATTATTGCATTTTGACATAAAGACGTTTCCTGTTTTTATAATTGCTTTGTATTTCTTACACCTAAAATCTGATTCGCTTCATATTCATTCTCTCTTGATATGACGTCAACGATCTTTAGAGATTGCAACGAATTTCTTCATTAATAGCTGGATACACGAGAAAAATTTCAAATCAGATTTAACCACCTGCCCCAGCAAAGTCAAATAGCTATGAGAAAAGACCCCGAGATGATGCAGCATGC